ACGGTTGAGTCCCCCCGTCTTTTGTTCCGTTCTCAAGTCCCTGAACTTATGAAGTCTTGTTTCTGTAGTAGACCAATTTGTTAACATCCCCCCGATTGTTTTCTAAAATTTAAGATTAAAAAAAGTAAAAAAATTATATGAAATGTAATTTCTCACATTTAATATTCAAATTTTTTATATTATATTTATTTTTTTTATACTTATTATGCATTCTAAAATTTAAAAAAAAATGATGAAATAATGATTTTATCTGTATTTTGGAAAAAATTAAAAGAAAAAAGAAGAAGAAGAAACTTGATTTTTTTTTGTTTCCAAAATTTTTACACAGAACTCTCAATCTCATAGTTGGATGTGAGTGTCTTAACTTGATGAGCTATGCTTTGATTGACGGACCCTTACTAATAATTAAATTTTATCTACTTAAATTTCAAATTTTTTCTAAATCTGTAAATAAATTTTAAGTAAAAATATAGATTTTATATCAGTTAAAATATAGTTAATTATATTTTACTGGTTGGAATTCCAGATTAGTTATTGTCATTGAAATCTTAATGAAAAAGTAACCTGCGTTCCTACTCTTTATTGTATGATATCCTAAGATGTTAAATACTCAACAAAAAAAAAATCCATTAATTTTGTAACTCTATTTTTTCTTTCTTCTCAAAACTATTGAACAAAGAACTTTTCTTAAGATGTTCGTTCGTTTTTGGTGGGCTACAACTAATGATCACAGGAAAATTCATTTGATGAGTTGGAAGAGAATGTGCATGCTTTGTGGCTTAAACTTCAGGGACCTCGAGGGTTTTAATCAGGCTTTGGTGGCTGAATAGGTATGACGCTTTCTTCAAGATTCGTCTTTGTAAGTCTCTAAAGTCCTTAAAGCCAGATATTTTCGGGATCTTGTTATTTTGGAAGCTACGGCTACCACTCTTGATTCTTATTTCTGGAAGACTTTTGTTTGAGGGAGAGATTTTCTTCTCAAAGGCTTGCACATGAGGGTTGGGGATGACTCATCCTTCAAAGTTTTCACTGATCCATGGCTACCAAGACCGATTACTTTTAGACCCATCACTGCTGCCCTATTGATGAGATTTTACTGTGGCAAATTTTATAAGCCCCTTGAGAGAATGGTGTTGGGATAAACACTTAGTTTTATGGACCAATCATCCCCTCTTGTGTGAATTTAATAGAAAATAGCATGTAAAAATAATAATTCAAACAAGCACGAGATACAAAGCAATTTTAACGTGGAAAAACCCCTCAATGTGAGGAGTAAAAAATCACGCACCGAAGTCAAAATCTCCACTATAATAAATAATAGGCTACACCAAGTTCTCACTAGCAACAACTAGAACTATACAATAATAGATATCTCGAGACAATAAATCTCTGCAAATACGTGAATAAAACAGGGAAGAAAAGAAAGATCTCACTTTAAAAAATGGCACCAACTATCCACTGTATCTGACTGTAGGCACCTCCAAAAGAAATCTCCACCGTCCAGATTGAAGACCCTCGTGTTGTGAACACACTGTCAAAATTTCACCTCGATCGGACTACGGATCAACCTCCGATCGTGCAAAAAACGCTACTGTACAAAAGGTTTTTTTTTCTCGTTTTCTTTTCTGATTTTCTCTCCTCGATCTGCGTGCACTCACTTTTTCCCTTCTCTAGTTGTGGTAGGCGGCTGCACATGTTTGTTTTATAAAGGAAACAAACAAACAAAAAATATTTTTTTTAAAAGTCCTAAAAACTAATGGCCCATGTGAGGCTTAAAATGTTGGGCTTTCACACAGGTGAAAATACCCAACAAATCTCCCCATTTTCACTGTGTGAAGGAAATTGTCATCCCGACAACGGAACAACAAAACTCAAGCTTTTCTCTTGGTAGATTCTTTGTCAACATATCGGATCCATTACGATCAGTATGTATCTTCTCAAGTTCAAACAATCCATCATTGAGAGCATCTCTCATCCAGTGATACCTCATATCAATATGTTTCATTCTTGAATGAAATGTTGAATTCTTACCAAGATTAATAGCACTCTGATTATTGCAGAATATCACATACTGTTGTTACTTGAAGCCGAGCTCCTGCTGCTGCAATATATTCTGCCTCAGTCGTAGAAAGTGCAACACACTTTTGTAATCTTGACTGCCATGACACTGCACCACCTACAAATGTCATCAAATAGTCGGAAGTAGACTTTCAGTTATTTAAATCTCCTGCCATATCTAAATCAATGTAACCGGCAAGCACTGGCTTTCCACTTCCAAAAGTGAGCTTCAAACTGGAAGTACCCCACAAGTATCTCATGATCCACTTTACTGCCTTACAATGCTGTTTTCCCGGATTGGACATAAACCGACTAACAACACCAACAACATAGGCAATATCCGGTTTAGTACATACCATGATGTACATCAAACTCCCAACTGCTGAAGCATATGGAACTCTGCTCATCTCTTGCCTCTCTTTATCTGTAGAAGGACTCTGCTTACTACTCAGTTTAAAGTGATTGGATAGAGGATAACTACTTTAGCCTTGCTCATGTTGAATCTTTCAAACAACTTCTCTATGTAATGCTCCCGAGACATATACAATTTCTTGGATGCTCTGTCTCGTGCTATACGAATTCCAAGAATCTTCTTCGCTAGTCCAAAATCCTTCATGGCAAAGGATTTGCTCAACCATTTCTTCAACGTGTCAATTTTTGAAATATTCCTGCCAACAATCAAGATATCATCAACATAAAGCAACAGTATATTAAAGTCGTTATCAGAAAATTTCTCCACAAATACGCAACGATCAGAAGTAGTCTTTTTGAAGCCTTGCTACCCCATAACTGACTCAAACTTCTTGTACCACTGCCTTGATGCATGTTTTAACCCATAAAAACTTTTATTCAATCTGCACACAAGATTCTCTTTGCCTTTCTCCTCAAATCCCTCTTATAAATTTCTTTATCTAAATTACCATGCAAAAATGCAGTGTTGACATCCATCTGCTCAACTTCCAAGTCAAGCTACCAAATCCATAACAACACGTATAGAAGACATCTTCACAACAGGAGTAAAAACTTCATCAAAGTCTACACCTTCTTCTGACTAAACCCTTAACAACTAGTCTCGCTTTGTAACATGGTTATGAGGTGCGTTCTTTTTGTTTCACTTGATAAACCCACTTATTTTCAATGCGGTTTTCGCTTTAGGCAACTTGACAAGGTCAAAAGTGCGGTTTTCATGCAATGATTTCATTTCATCTTTCATTGCATCAATCCACTCTCTTTTGTGTTCCTTTTCTATGGCTTCCTCATAACTCTCAGACTCTACCCCATCAGACATTAACACATACTCATCAATAGGATACCGTGTGGAAGAACACTGATGATATAGAAATGAGTGATCACGGAGTGCACGGGGAAAGACTAC